TTAGAGTTTTGATATATTAAAACAAAATGGCGACAAGTGAGTTAGGTAAAGTCTTAGCTTTAGCGAATCATTTAAAATGTACAGTATACAAACGTTTAATAAAGCACATATACCTAGCCTAACCTAGGGTTAAAAAAAAAAAAAAGATAAAGAATGGACACACTTGGAACACCTTCTTTAAAGATTCTTAAGAAAAAAGTTTTCTTATCAAATTAATTAATGAAGAATTACTAATACTTTCTAAACTAACCATAAGAAAATCAGATTTATATAAACAAGTAGAGTATATAACATGCAAATAACAAATAAAAACAATAGAACACCTACTAGAATGTCCAGCATATAAAGTCCAATAGTAGAAAATTGAAACAAAGAAATTGAAGGTATTCTAAAAGACTTTTAAAAACTTTTGTATAAGAAAAGAAAAGAAATAGAAGAGAAAGTAATATGACTTCTAGTTGAAGACAGAGTAGAATTAAAAAAATTGAATAAATATATAATCAGGCTTATAAAAGAGACTGCAGAAACAGATTAAAATATACTAAACTTTTGTATGAAATTAATATGAAATGATCAGATATTAAAAATATCAAACCTAAAATATTGCCAAAAAAGAATAGGGAAAAAAGCTTGAAAATGGATAATGAAGATATAGAAAAAAATTTACAATTAATTCTGAAAAAAGATTTGAAACAAAAGATATTTAAGAATGATCAAGTAAAAACAATCATAAGGGATCTATAGAGAAAATAAAATAAAAAGATCAATCAGTTCTTTAAATCAGAACAACAAGATCACAACTATGAAAAGGTCCTTATAGAAAAAAGAAAAACTTGAAGATAAATGTTTGAAATAAATCTTTTTATAAAGAGTAAAGTATAGAATAAGAAGATTAGAGTTTTAATATCTGTCAAAACTTATAAGGAGGATCTGCAGTAATGATCTGCAGGCAATAAAATTAGTAGTTAGAAGGGTTTTTATCTGAGCTACTAATGGAGTGATAAATTACTCTTGAAATTGCACTTAGAGTGATAATAATCAAGACAAGTGAACTAATTAGAGATTTAGCTTTAGTGATTCATTTTACATATATAATATACTAATCTTTAATAAAGCATGTATAATTAATCTGATAGAGAGCAAAAAAAAAAAAAATTAATTATAAGTTTCTAAAATATTTAGTACATAAAATTTTAATGATAATTTATATTTTTTTTTAAAAAACAAAATTTATAGCTTTTCACTTTAATAGAAACAAAATTTAGAAAATATTATAAATTAATAATTTAAATAATAAAGAATTATCACAAATAATTTTTTTATAATTATTAATTTAAAAATTTTAAAGTTTCTTAGCAAGAGATATTTGACTTTTATTCTTGTTTTTTTTTAAGAATTTATCTTTAATTATAATTAGTAAGAGTTTTTTATATTCTACTGATAATATATTTCATATTAATAAATTATCTTTAATAACAACCATATATTTTTGTGTTATTTCAAAATTCAAAATCAAACAAAAGTAAATAAAATTCTTTAAAAAGTTTGAAAAAATGATTAATTGTAAGAAAATAATAATAATGAATAGAAAAGTTTTAAAGATTTAAATTTTAATTATTTATTTTTTATTATATAAGATCTTTATATTTTAGAAAATAAATTTTCAATATTTTATTATTGATTCTTCTTTCTTTTAAAACTTTATCATAAATAAAAAAAATATTTTCTAATTTTTTTTTATCATTAAAAATCAAGTTTTTGTTTGAAAAGAAATACAGTATATATAAATAAAAATAAAATTTTTGAAATTATTTTTTAAATTATTTTAAAAAAAGTAATAAAACTTCATTAATATAGAAATATAAAAATTCTTATAAATATTTTTTATATATAATTAATAGATTAATAAAAATAATATTTTTTTTTTTTTTTTTTTTTTTTTTTAGAAAGGATAACAAAACCCAGTTTATTAAAGTCGATAGAACAGACCTTACATATTAGTCTAGCTATTAATTACAGGATGATTCTATAATCAATCTTTATGCTAACTATAGTAAGTTTACATCCATCTTACCATTATATCCATAAATCTGATTGTAACTCCTTATGTACACTATAGCTTGTTGCCGGAAGAAGTCCTACTACCCCACTACCTACGTCTGTGTTACTCTTCCCTGACCCTCATTTCTACAGGCCCGGGGTCTGTAATATAGGACCCCTTTCATATCTCATCTCGCTGAATATTTTTTTTACAATACTTATTACAGTATGTCTACGGAATACCCACGTGAAGTCTTAGATATCATCTTGTCCCGTCGGAACACTCTTTTTACATAATCTATTACAGCCTGCCTATGGAGTGATCACGTGGAGTCTTGGATGGATGTCGATTTGATAGAGACCCTCTTCTAACTAACGTGCCTAGGCTCCATTAGCTTCCTTGATTTTATGGTTTACAAATCTTCAACCTATCTGCAGGAGCTTGAAAGAACCTGTCTTGTGACGAGGTGGCTTTAGCACTAAAACTGGCTAAAGCGTCTTGTGATCTTTGGATCGGATGGGGTCTTGGCCAGAGGTGATTAGATCGTCATCATGAAACGGATAGGATCGTCTTGTATCACCCAAGCTTTTAGGTGATATTGCTTCGCAGTGGTATTGAACTTAGAAACAATACTTGGTGACCTAGAAGCGTTACCACTACGCTATTGATTCACAGGTCTATAAAAATAATATTCTATTAGTATATTTGTTATATTTATTTATATTTTTTATTTTTAATGAATAGAGTTTCTCAAATAAAAAAAACTATTTTATAAATCTTTTTTTATTATAATATTATTAAGATATATAATTAAAATTAATAGAATTTTGTTTATATTTTAGTAATTAAATATTTTTTATTTATCAATAATATTTCATAAAAATTGTATTATTCAAAAATTTAAAGATAAATTGAGATAAACAATTCTTTAAGAATAAAAACTTTTTAAAAGAATTTATTGCAAATAATTAATAAAAATAATTATAAATTCTTTTGTTATATAAAACTTTTATAATAATTTGCTTTCAAGGTAAAAAGATTTTTGGATGCAATTACAATTGATTTTCTTTTAAAAAGTTTATAATATAAATATTTACTTGATTTTTTTTTTTTTGGTTTTCAAAAATCATGTTAATGGTCAAAAAGATTATATATAAACAAGAGGAAAAGATAGTAGTGATTCTTGAAAATACTTTTCAAATTCTTTTAAAGATAGTGTTAAGATAAAAGTCTTTTGTGTGTGATCAGAGAATCAGTAGAAAGAACAAGTAAATAATTATATTAAAATAATTTGTCTTACTGTGTATTAAATTATTAATAGTTTCTTATAAAACTTTTTTTTTTTTATTATTCTTAATAATGAGTCTGAGAAATAGACAAAAGAACATGCATTATCACACATACAATATAAAACCTTTCGAGCAAATATTTGATCGATTATATTTTTAGAAACAATATAGTTACTCGAATGACCTAAGCATATCACTTTCATAAATTTAACAATGCATAGAATATCGTATCGAAGTTGAATTATTACCGTTGGTAATGAAGCCATCGAATACTCCTCTAGTTGAAATTTTGACTAAACGATAGTATGATTTATCTCATTACGATCACATTTCCAAAGATATTAACGATTTAGAATAGCGCTGACAGAATAACTTTATTTTTTAGTCTAAAATTGATCTACCAAAACTTCAAATGAAGCATATACAGTAATTATTAAACAAAATACATTTCATTTGAAATATGACCTTTGACCTTTGGACAAAATCCATTTTTCACTTTAGGTCTTTCGGTTACGGGTTCATCCCTGCCGAACTCTCTTCCATATCTACCTCGACCTCCTCTACCACCACGTCCTTCTCTGCCACCACGATCTCCTCTGCCACCACGACCTCCTCTTCCATCGCGAGTGCTGACGGGGATCTGTTCATATTCTACAAAATTTTTTGCCTGGTTGGCGATATGATGCGCATAATGTACTGGTGTCACGTGAGATAAGGCCAAGTTGCACCTAAAGTGGATCGGTGATCAGAAATTTATGCTACATACAACAGAAAAATTCGTGTCATCAACATACCTCACGGATAAGAAACATAACCTATACGTGATTTCTTGAATCTCGTCCGCCGAGAAATTACCTTCATTAAGGATTACGTGATAGTAGGCAGATCTGGCTGTCCCAAGTGGACTTGCGTGACTCTGTAAAACTATTCATATTGAATATATAGCAATATCATTGTTAACATTTATGAATCGGAATAAGTCCGTGATGAGAATAACAACTTAACTTACAGAATGTAAAATTCTGTGGTACAACAATTTCTGTATCAACCACAGTTCCGGGCTTACAATTTTCACTGTTTTGGTCGCGATCGTCCTTATTAACCGGCATAAATCTAGAGAAATGTTATGAATGATAAATTTTAATGTATTCATCATCAAAGGAGTAACAACGATGCTAACTTTACCTGGCGTGATGTCTCTTCTGAACAATTAAAAATGTCAACTTTGGTGGGTCGCGATATCCGTATACTTCCTTGGACGCGCTCTTTATAGCGGCAACCTCTTCGTCCAATACCATTTGAAATTGACCTTCGGCGACTCCATCTCGGTAAAATATAATTTGTTCCGGAAGCGCACCGTCGTTTTGTATTCGAAATTGTTCGAGCAATTCTCGAATCATCCCCTCCAGATTTTCAATGGTCTCGTTGTTTAGTGTTCTATTCATTCCATAACGCGCAATATATTTTGTAACCTCTGGATCCATAGATGCGCATATCCCAGACACGCTAGGACGACCTCTTTTTTTGTCATCCTTACTAGGATGAAAAACGTCCGCCCCGATAACCATTGGCTAAACGAAGAAATTAAATAACGATAATCATAATTTAGGAGAGATTTTAATGTTTCAACAATAAAAGAATCTCAAACACCCACAGTCGTAGTCGTCTTGAATTTCAACTCATGATCGAGTAAGGTGGAGTTCGTGCCACCCAACTTGCCGTTAATCTTCAGAGCAATGTTACCGCAAATACTTCTCCACTTGTCTGATACCATATTTAATGCCACGATACATTGAGTGACTACACCCAACTCTACTCCGCATATTTTCTTGATAATTGGATGTAGCCCTGTGTCAACCTTAACTTTTTTTTGAACAATGCAGATAATTAATTGCGGCGCTTTGCTTTTTTCGATTCTTGCATTGTTGAAACCAATAAGAAGGGACTATCGCGAAAAACGCAAATTGCGAAACGTATTAATAAATGTGAAATAGGTTTTCCGAGAGTAGAATTGTGAAGTCCCTCACTTTTAAATAATCCCCCTGAGGATTGGCATAATAAATTGGAGGGCGGTTGTTCATGATATTCTATAAATGATAATAGATGTTTGTCATTGCGTGAGCAAGAAAAGAACTTTACTTGATTTTTATCAAAAGAATGGCCTACAAGTCCTTTCTGGGAGAGAGATTCCATCAGCTGAATTAATGCATTCTGCAATACATTCCTTGGTAATTTTTTCATATCCTCAAATACTACAACAGACCAATTATAAATATTTGTTCCCTAAACAAAATGGAATATAAATTTATCTATCACAAATACTCGTTATTCCAATGAGTCCGTAAAAAAGAAGAGTTAACATTCACCCTTATAAACCTTTTGACATCCCAACCACCCGAGGTTGGATTTATCGGCCTATTCTCTCGATCGATTAATCTGGGCGGTGGAAGGACGCGAGCTGAAATTCGATACTATCAGTTTATGTGGACGTGTCGCAAAGATAATTTGACAATGAATATTGGAACTACTTTACCCATGAGTCTAATAAACTCTTTATCCACCTCCATGCCGATAGAAGCTATATTTTCATCGGCCTGATGTTTATATATTTCTCTTGAAGCATTCATCAGATGATTAAATCTAACGCTAGGTTTAACAGCAGTTTTTTCGATCATCTCCTGACGTTGAAATGAAGAAAGCTCCGGCTTATATTTTTGACCTGACATAAAAAGCTGTGGTTACAGAAAAAGTTAAAATCATATTACAATAATGGTTATAAATTTTACCTGGGATAATTTCGCAAATCTCCAAAGGCAAAAGAATATCACTTTTGCGAGGCTTTCTAACAACAACGCATGGTAAATTTCCAAACTCCAACTGTATTCCAC